TTTTTTATATGAAACGCTTCATGAATTTGCATCATCCTTGCGCAGGGGCCATGCTAATCTTCTCTGTATCATTCCAATTTTAGTATAAGTGCTACCAAAGCTAGCACTAATTTTTAGTAGAGACAGCAGTTCACCACATTGGCCATGCTGGTCTCAAACTCCTGACCTCAGGTGATCTACCTGCCTCGGTCTCCCAAAGTGCTGGAATTACAGGCATGAGCCATGGCGCCCAGTCTGTTTTTGAATTTTAAACTGTTTTTGTTTTCATATCAGGTTTAAGATACCCATACTCAAAATAATCGAATGTTCCAGTTGGCCTGGGACAGTCTTAGTTTACTATGTTGTCCTGGCATAATTATTAATAGCACCTGTTTTCACTCAAAATATCCCTGGTTTGGAATGATAACTCATACAGTCATCTTACCCATAAAGAAGCACTAATGAAAACAGGAAATCTAAGCGTATGCCAGTGAGGGGCATCAAAATAACAATCTGGTAAATTCTCAAGAGAAACTGTAGTAGATTCATAAATTGCATTCTTCTGATAAAGATTATCATACAACATATCAAGATGTAAAGAAAATTAGAGAATCAAGACAAGATGTCCAATATCCAACTAATAACAATTCCAAAAAGAAAGATATAGGTAAGGAAAATAAGAAAATACTTCCTAAACTTGAAAGAAAAATGTCTCCAAATTTAAGAAGACGGTGAAGTACCCAAAGAACAATACATTAACGACAACAACAAGAAAACCATTCCAAGGCATGAAAATATTCAGGTCACTAGGGATAAGATAAAAAAAAAATCCTAAAAAGTTTCCAGAAAGAATGAACTTGTCTCATACCCAGATCAAGAATCTGATGACATATGACATCAAAATTCTTCAGAGCAACATGAGAAATTAGAAGACAATGGAGCAATGCCTTAAAAATTCTGAGGGTAGCATGTTCCAACTTAAAATTGTATCCACTCTATATTTTATTTTATGAGACAGAGTCTTGTTCTGCTGCCCAGGCTGGAGTGCAACAGTGAAATCTTGGCTCACTGTAACCTCCATTTCCCAGGTCCAGCTGATTCTCCTGCCTCAGCCTCCCATGTAGCTGGGATTACAGATGTGCGCCACCACACCTGCCTAATTTTTATGTTTTTAGTAGAGATGAGGTTTCACCATGTTGGCCAGGCTGGTCTTGAACTCCTGACCTCAAGTGATCTGCCCGCCTCGGCCTCTCAAAGTGCTGGGATTACAGGCATGAGCCTCTGTGCTCAGCCTCCACTCGGTTTATGTAGTAAAATAAACCACTCGGTTTATTTTCATTTATGTGAGTTCCCAAAATCTTTACTCCTCAAAGTACACTCTCTCAGGAAGCTGCTAAAGGACAGGCTGCACCAGAAGAAAGGGGTAAAGCAAGAATCAGGTAGAGCTGGCCGTGCCATGAAACAGGCTCCGAGCACTAGAGAGAGGCGCGGAATTGTTTTAGGATCAGAGTGAGGGGAAGCCATGAATAACCACTGTAGCAGTCAGTGCAGACTGGAGCAGGAAGACAGAGCTAGGGGTGCAGAGGTGGGGTGGTGGGGGGGGCAATTACCCAATGAATGCAAATGTAATGAGAGTAGACCTGTATTGTGGCAAAAGAGGATATGATGAACTAGTGATGATCACACAAATGGAAACCAAAATTTTAAACGTATTAATAACCAGGGAAAACAAATATAATCAGCATAGTATAAGGATTAGTTATGGATACTTGCCTAATAATAAAAATTCTGAATACTGAGGATAGCAAAATTGTAAATTTATCCAGAAGATGGGTGTGAGTGGCAACAGGTGTATGAGGTGTATGTTAATTTAAGATAGCCGCATTTTCATCTTCCACAGCATAATGCTAATATCTAAACCTAGAGGGAGAAACACTAGCAGCAATATAGGTCTGTTATTTAGAAATCTCAAGATAAACAGCAAAGAATATTGCTTGAACAGTTGAAATTATTCTATACGGTAGAAGCTGGGGATGGCGATGGGAATGCTATTGTTATTCATTATAAGCTTTGGAGTACTTTTCAGTTTTTAAACCCCATATATCCATTTTGATAAAAATGAAATTGAAAAATAAACGTTGACAAATATTTTTATATAATGAATGTACCATAATATATCCCTTATTACTATGAGGAAAAGTAATATTAGTCTTTTTAAATTTTTTTTTGAGATGAAGTCTTACACTGACACCCGGCCTGACTAGCAATCTCGGCTCAATGCAACCTCCGCCTCCCAGATTCACCCACATCAGCCTCCAGTGTAGCTGGGTATAGGCATGCACCACCATGTGCAGCTAATTTTTTGTATTTTTGGTAGAGATGGGGTTTCGTCATGTTGCCCAGGCTGGTCTATGAACTCCTAAACTCAAGCGATCTGCCCACCACAGCCTCCCAAAGTGTTGGGATTACAGGTGTGAGCCACCATGCATTTGGTCCAACATTTGTCTTGATGTGTAATATCAGGCTGGAGTGCAGAGGTGCAATCATGGCTCACTGCAGCTTCAACCTCCCAGGCTCAAGCGAGCCTCACACCTCAGCCTCCTAAGTAGCTGGTACAACAGACATATGCCACCATGCCCCAGATAATTTTTTTAGTTTTAGTAGAGGAGAGGTCTCAGCTGTGTTGCCCAGACTGGTCTGAGAACTCCTGTGCTCAAGTGATCCTCCTGCCTCGGCCTCCCAAAGTGTTGGGATTAGAGACATGAGCCACCACCTCCAGCCCAGACTGTTTTCAACATTACAGTACCCAGCACTACTAAAAGACAGCAGTCACTTTTTCAAAAAATAGGTTTTTAAAAATTTAGTTTGATAGCAACTTTTCTCCAGTACATTTCCCCCCTTACCCCCAGAGACGGAGTTCTTCCTCTGTCACCCAGGCTGGAGTGCAGTGGCATGATCTTGGCTCACTGCAACCTCCGCCTCCCAGGTTTAAGCGATTCTCTTGCCTCAGCCTCAGAGTAGCTGGGATAACAGGCATGTAACACCATGCCGAGCTAATGGTGTATTTTCAGTAGAGACAGGGTTTCACCATGTTGGTCAGGCTTGTCTTGAACTCCTAACCTCGTGATCTGCCTACCTTGGACTCCCAAAGTGCTGGGATTACAGGCATGAGCCACTGCGCACAGCCTCCTCAGTACATTTTTTTTAAAAAAAGGAATTCATTTCTTTCTTTTCAATTTCTATTTTATCACAGAGTTTTGTTTTTGTTTGTTGTTTTTAGATACAGAGTTTCACTGCTGCCCAGGCTGGAATGCAATGGTGCGATCTCGGCTCACAGCAACCTCTGCCTCCTGGGTTTATGATTCTCCTGACTCAGCTTTAGGACTAGCCGGGATTACAGGCGCCCGCCACTATGCCCGGCTAATTTTTGTATTTTTAGTAGAGACAGGGATTCACCATGTTGGCCAGGCTGGTCTTGAACTCCTGATCTCAAGTGATCTCCCTGCCTCAGCCTCCCAAAGTGTTGGGATTACTGGCCTGAGCCACTGCACCTGGCCTATTTTTTAATTTTTATTTTTCTGAGATGAAATCTCACTTTCTTGCCCAGGCTGGAGTGCATTGGCACCATCTCGTGCCTGGCTTTTTTTTTTTTTTTTTAAATATTTAATAATGTAAAACAACCAGCAAGAACTTTATCACCCTATACATGATCATACTGGTTGGGTGTTTCTTTTGGCAAAGTTGGAATGCTTGGTATTTCCACTTCCTTACACAGAAGCAAATCGATAATTCTGGCATTTTTGACGCTCCATATGGACGCAGGCAAATTAAAATTCTGCACCCTGGGGAGGACATAAAACCATTTTCATCTTAATATAACTTTTAAATGATACATCACCCCCAAATTACAAAAGGATTCAAATTTTGTAGGGGGTTCAGATGTGTTTAAAAAAAGGGGGGGGGGGCAGGAAAAGCGATCTCTAGAACATCTATCCTACCCTATCAATTGTTCAGTTGTCTTATCAGATTGAAAACTTCAGCCTTGTGCCATGGCTCGCACCTATAATCCCAGCACTTTGGGAGGCCGAGGCAGGCAGATCACCTGAGGCCAGGTGTTCAAGACCAGCCTGACCAACATGATGAAACCCCGTCTCTACTAAAATACAAAAATTAGCCAGGTTGTGGCAGGCACCTGTAATCTCAGCTACTCCAGAGCCTGAGGCAGAATTGCTTGAATCCAGAAAGCAGAGGTTACAGTGAGCTAAGATTGCGCCATTGCACTCCAACAAAACTCCATCTAAAAAAACCAACACTGCTGGGTGCGGTGGCTCACACCTGTAAACCCAGCACTTCGGGAGGCCGAGGCGGGCAAATCACCTGAGGTTCTGAGTTCGAGACCAGCCTGGCCAACATGGTGAAACCCCCGTCTCTACTAAAAATACAAAGATTAGCTGGGCGTGGTGGCTCACGCTCATAATCCCAGCTACTCGGGAGGCTGAGGCAAGAAAATCACTTCAAGCCGGGAGGTGAGGGTTGCAGTGAGCCGAGATTGCGTCACTACACTGCAGTCTGAGCAACAAGAGCAAAACTCCGTCTCCAAAAAAACCCCAAGAAGTTGTTTAATTGAAGGTCACAGAGTTAATAACCAGCAGAAAGGTTCAAGTGTCTGGGAGGCAGGCAGAACTGGTGTGCGAGAGGGGGTTTCATGAGGAAAGCAAGCCCCGCGTGGAGGGAGGGCTGTACCGGGGCAGAGGGCGCTTACCCGGCCGGAAAAATAGAAGGGCGCTGGTGAGGTAGCTCACCAGCTCCTTGATCCGATGCTTTTCCAAATACTCCGCGGCTTGGAGCTCCCTGCTACGGGTCTCCATTGCTCTGCGGCTCGCTGTTGCTAGGTGACCGCCTGGCGTCTCAGCCGCGCGACTCAACCTCCCTCCACCCCGCGCGGTCACGTGATGCATCTGACTCCCCTGTGGCTGCAACCGGGACCTGGACTTCCTACAGCTCACAGTTCAGTGCAAGCCTGGGGCTTGTGTCAGGGCAGAGAGAGTAGGTGAGGTGTGGACCACCGTCACCGTCCCTGATCCAGTTTGAGGGCTGGGCCTAAGTGCCTTTTTCCGTTTCTCTAGCACCTAGTTGGGTACTTGTTGATCCAACGATTAACCAGGGCTTGAAGTGCTGGCATCATAACTCTGGATTAACTAGTAACAGAAGAAACTTGTGCAATTCTGAGGGTGCCCAGTGGAGAGTTCTAAGTAGCATTTTCCGTGTGAGTGGCCTGCAGGCATGGCGCTGGCCACCGGACAGAAATGTCTTGACCTGTTGACTCCACTGGGTTGTGGGCCACAGAGCAGCCTGGATCCTGAGCTTCAACCCTTGTTTGCTGGAGCTGGTCTTAGGAGACAGAGACCAGTTGAGTTTTGTTTTTTGTTTTTGTTTTGTTTTGTTTTTGAGACAGATTTTCACTCTTGTTGCCCAGGCTGGAGTACAATGGTGTGATCTCAGCTCACTGCAGCCTCTACCTCCTGGGTTCAAGAGATTCTCTTGCCTCAGCCTCCCAAGTAGCTGGGATTACACACATGCGCCACTACACCCTGCTAATTATATATATATATATTTATTTATTTTTTTAGCAGTGACACGGTTTCACCATGTTAGCCAGGCTGGTCTGGAACTCCTGACCTCAGGTGATATACCTGCCTTGGCCTCCCAAAGTGCTGGGATTATAGGCATGAGCCACCATGCCTGGCCCTGACAGTTGTTTTGAGGGAGGGTCACTGAGTAAGGTGGGATGCAAGCAGCTAGGAGGGCCTCTACTCTGTCATGAGGAGACCTGAGAAACTAACTCTGGGCCATCTGTACTTGAGGGCCTGTGCCCACATCCTTCACTGTAAGAGTTAGCCCAGAAGGAGCACTTCAAGAAGGAGAATAACAAACGGTCAGTGAGCATGTGAAAATACCCTAAGCCTCTTTGACAACCCGGTAAACAAAACTACAAGAAAATACCATTTTATATCTACCAGGCTGATAAAGATTACAAAGTTGAACAATGAATGAGATGGTTACTGATCATGGAGTATAAATTGGAACATCCACTTTGGAAAATGGTTTAGAATTATCTTGGTAATTTAAACATGTTTCCACACACTGACACAGAAATTTCACTACAAGAGCTGCTCCTGTAAATGTATACCAGGAGATATGTACAAGAATGTTTATAGCAGCACCATTCATAATAGAGATCACTAACAGCACAGATGTCAAGAGTAAAATGGATTTTAAAAACTATGATACATGAATACTATAAAGCATTTTAACAATCAGTTGTAGCTATTTGCAATAATATAGGCGAATTTCAAAAACATTGTTTCCAGGGTATATATATCATATGAATCAATTTATATAAAGTTTAAAAACATACCAAACTGAACAATACATTGTTTGCAGATTCAAACGTATGTAGGAAATCTGTCAAACACAAGAAAATGGTAAGCACAAAATTCAGCTAGTGTTTGCCTTGGAGTTGGGAGAAAAGAAAAATGGGTTTGGGGAGAAATATCCTGGGGACTGCAGGATTAATTCTAATATGATTTTTCTTTAACTGAAGGGTGGGTTCACAGGTGTTCATCAGATGATTCTTTATACCCTATATATGTATTTTATAATTTTTTTAATCTATTCAGCATTTAGTAAAAATATTTTTTCATCAGTTGAAAAATAGTGTGGAACTGAAGGTTATTATCCTTAGCAAACTAACACAGGAACAGAAAACCAAATGTCACATGTTCTTACAAGTGGGAGCTAAATGATAAGAACACATTGACATAAAGAAGGAAACAACAGACACTGGGGTCTACTTGATGGGGGAGGGTGGGAAGAGGGAGAGGAGCAAAAAAAAAAAAAAATCACTACTAGGTACTGGGCTTAATACCCCAGTGATGAAATAATACGTAATTGATGTCTGTTTCCCTATGTAACAAACCTTCACATGTGCCCCCACACCTAAAATAAGGTTTAAAAAAAAAGAGTGGAAAGAGGATCTACAAAATAATGCCAGGAGACTGAACCAAGCCTGAAACAGAAAGTAGCCATGGTACTGGGGACATGTGGGCACAGAATCTCCAGAGGGCAGACCTACCTTGAGAATTCTGACCGATCTGGCAGGCCAGAGAAGCCCTGAGCATCTGGGAGAACTAGAGGAAATTTTATGGCTAACGTTTGGGTCCTTGGCACAACTTTGAACAGAGAGAAGGGATGATGCTCTTGTCCTCAAAGTCTAGAGGAGGTGTTCTGAGGAGGGAAAGACTTACTCTCTGAAAAGACCTGAAAACTGTGTGCCAGGTGAGGTGGCTTATGCCTGTAATCCCATCACTTTGGGAGGCCAAGGCAGAAGGATTGAGCCCAGGATTTTGAGGCCAGTCTGTAATGCAGGATTTTCTGATTGATCACTTTGCAAGCCAGGGATCTCCGGCCAGTGATATCCTACCCAGGCCTCCTTCTCCTGCTGCAAGAGACAGCCAGCCCACTCAGCCTACCTGGGTTGAGTCTGGCCTGTGCACCAATTCCTGAGCTTTTGTCCCTAACCCAAGAAGAATGAGCAAGGTGGGGAGTTTTACTGAGTGATGGAATAGCTCTCAGTGGAAAGGGGATGCTGGGGGCCATGGGGGGAGGGTGGTCCCCCGTCCCTGTAGTCAGGTGGTTTCTCCCTCTGTGCTGCTGAGTCTGGGACCTTTGATGGACTCAGAATGGGGAGTGCATGCTGACTGGTTTGTGAGGATCCAAAAAAGGTTAAAGTGAAGATACCACTCCAAGGTGGGCATGACAGTGTAGAAAACCAATTAGGAAAGGGTAGGTGTATGTACAATTGGTGAAGGATGAGGATCAATCAGAAGAAAACATGCCAAACAGGAAGACAAGTTCTCCGTCTGGTCGAGGATTTAACTTGTAGCTTGGCTTTCAGGCTTTAAACTGTCCTTGGCTTGGCGGTGGGGTTTCACCATTGACTTGCCCCTATCTGCCTAGGCATTTGGCTGCCTCCTGTTGCCATTACCTAGCCAACATGCAAAACCCCATCTCTACTAAAAATACAAAAAATAGCCAGTTGTGGTGGCACATACCTGTAATCCCAGCTACTCGGGAAGCTGAGTCACTAGAATCGCGTGAACCTGGAATGTGGAGGTTTTGCACTGAGCTGAGACTGTGCCACTGTACTCCAGCTTGGGTGACAGAGCGAGACTCTGTCTCAAAAACAAAACAAAACCCCCCAAAAAACTGTGCACCCAAATCTGCACCACTGGTTTGGGTTCGTAGCAAGGGTCTTTCAGGATGTTGGAAACGGCTCTGCAAACTTTTTAACAGAATACTTTTTGAAAAATCATATGTGGAATCTCCTCTGATTACCCCTGCCCTAAACACATATTTGACAGATAAAAGAGCATTACACTGAAATTCACATAAATTTTTTTTTTTTTTTTTTTGAGACAGAGTCTCTGTCACCCAGGCTGGAGTATAGTGGTGTGATCTCGGCTCACTGCAACCTCCCCTTCCCGGGTTCAAATGACTCTCCCACCTCAGCCTCCCAAGTAGCTGGGATTATAGGTACCCGCCATCATTCCTGCCTAATTTTTGTAGAGATGGGGTTTCACCATGTTGGCCAGATTGGTCTTGAACTCCTGACCCCGGTGATCCACTCGCCTTGGCCTCCCAAAGTGCTGGGATTACAGGTGTGAGGCACCACGCCTGGATGTAAGATCACATCTTCTAAACGTTTTTTTTTTCTCACAGAAGCACGGCTGGCTGGCTGGCTGGCTGGCTGCCTGCGTGATCGCCATGACAGAGTTAACTGGAGCCTGGGGAGCTCTAACTCAGGGACAGAACTCAGCTGACAAAGTCAATACATTGCTCTGGTGCCTTCGGATTTGAGGGCCCTCTCTGAAGCCTGGTTCCTGATGGGTTCTGGTAGAGATTGACAACTGATATAGATGTTATTCTTCAGTTTTTTTTTTTTTTTTTTTTTTTTTAATTCACTCCTCGGGGACTTCCTTTATGTTCAGTGGTAGAAGGGAGAGTGAAGCATAAAGAGGAAGGCCCAAATTATACACCCCTTCTTCAATTTCTGGCTCCCTAAGCACTTGATCCTGCAAGGTTTGACCGAAGCTGCATGATCACTTGGGAAAGCAGCTCTGGCTCTGCTTAGCGGCCGGTACAGCAGAGGCCCAGCAGTGGCAGCAGGAATGAGAAATGGAGAGGGAGCGTGCAGCAGGGATAGTGACTGTGAGAAGCAGGAGACCACAGGCATGGGGAGGAGGAACTGAGTCACAGCAAACAGGGCTGCTAACATGATTTCCTTTGACTTGCTGAAGGCCAGTGTGGCCCAAGCAAAACAAAGTAAATGTAAGGAACATTCCTTAATAAGGGAGAGAAGACAAAGTGCTGGTCCCCCGCAGACAGTGGTTTCCGCTCAGTGCTGTAAGCACAAGACATTTGGTCTTCTCCTTTAGGACGTCATGTATTTTTTGTTTTTTTTTTTTGAGACAGAGTCTTGCTCTGTCACCCAGGCTACAGTGCAGTGGTACCATCTCAGCTCGCTGTAAGCTCTGCCTTCCAGGTTCAAATGATTATCATGCCTCAGCCTCCTGAGTAGCTGGGACTACAGGCATATGCCACCACGCCTGGCTAATTTTGTATTTTTTGTAGAGATGGGTTTTTCCACGTTGCCTAGGCTGGTCTCAAACGCCTGAGCTCAAGTGATCTGCCCGCCTCAGCCTCCCAAAGTGCTAGGATTACAGGTGTGAGCCACCACACGTGGACTATTTATTTTTATTGAGACAGGGTACTTGCTCTGTCACCCAGGTTGGAGTGCAGTGGTATGATCACAACTCACTGCAGCTTCAATCTCTTGAACTCAAGCAGTCTTCCTAGCTCAGCTTCCAGAATAGGTGTGACCACAGGCCCAGCTAATTTTTTTTATTTTTGTAGGGATGGGGTCTCACTATGTTGCCCAGGCTAGTCTCAAACTCCTGGGCTCAATCAGTCCTCCTCCCACCTATGCCTCCCAAGTGCT